AAAGGGGTTGCGGACGGTACAGTTCAAAATCTAGAGGGCATAGAAGTTGGCGAGTTGTGCACCGGATCAAATGTAGCCAGAGGCCTGGAAAAGGGGAAAGGCGAGCAGGGAAGAAGGGAGAAGGGAGATGGGAGATGGGATATGGGAGATGGGAGATGGGAGAAGGGAGATGGGAGATGGGAGAAGGGAGATGGGAGATGGGAGATGGGGGATGGGATATGGGAGATGGGAGATGGGAGATGGGAGATGGGAGATGGGAGATGGGATATGGGAGATGGGATATGGGAGATGGGAGATGGGAGATGGGAGATGGGATATGGGAGATGGGATATGGGAGATGGGAGATGGGAGATGGGAGATGGGAGATGGGAGATGGGAGATGGGATATGGGAGATGGGATATGGGAGATGGGATATGGGAGATGGGAGATGGAAGATGGGAGATGGGAGATGGGAGATGGGATATGGGGGATGGGAGATGGGAGATGGGAGATGGGAGATGGGAGAAGGGAGAAGGGAGAAGGGAGATGGGAGATGGGAGATGGGAGATGGGAGATGGGAGATGGGAGATGGGAGATGGGAGATGGGCGATGGGAGATGGGAGATGGGAGAAGGGAGTGGGGAGAATGGAGATGGGGAGGAAGCAGAGACATACAACTCAGTGATTTTATCAGATTATTTAGGTCAGTCAAACCGAGCTTGCAGCTTTCTACCCGGCCTGAGCTTGCAGCTTTCTACCCGTTTTCTTAGTTCGAGACATACAACGAGGAAGGCGAGGTAAAGGAGGAGGAGAGAAGAGGGGCCTTTTTCATTAACAGTCCAGTTGAGATCGCCCCAGAGAGAGAGAGCATAGAAATTGGTTGAGCTAGGATTGGTGTAACTAGTGAGTGTGTGACAGATGCATGTATGGTTATCATCAGGATGCAAAGACAGTCATGAAGGAGAGCATATTCCGAGAAAACTCAAAAATTGAACTGATTTATCATGTATGGTTGACACCATGACCGGATGCCAAAACACTCATGAAGGAAAGCACTCACCAGAGCCTGGTGGTGTGATTGGAAAGACGACATGCATGTGTGTGTGACTACTATGCATGTATCGAGTTGACTTTTGAGTCGACTCAGAGGTGTATGTGTCTAATGATGGATGCGAGATTGTGTATGTACAGTGTGTGATTGTCAAACCCACTCACCGGGTTGGGCAACAGCCTGGTGGTGTCATTGGCAAAGGCGACATGCATGGGTGGCCAATGAATGTGTGACAATGCGTGTTCGGCTGTTGTGTGCGTGCTTAGGTTAGGAAAACCCACGTGTGATGAGTCGATTTTTGACTCGACTCAAAAATCGACTCATCACTGCGCGTGCAACTATGCGTGTTCAGCTATTGTGTGCATGCTTAGGAAAACCTCTCACCGGGTTGGGTGAGGCCCAGAGCCTGTTGGTGTCATTGGCAAAACGACAAGCATATGTGACTGTGCAAGTTGCGCTATTACAATATAGTAAATAGAGTGTGATTCTCAAACCCACTCACCGGGTTGGGTGAGGCCCAGAGCTTGTTGGTGTCATTGGCAAATCGAAGGCCCTGCCCGTGTGGAGGGAGTGGTAGGGTTCGTAATGTAAGGTGAGAGCGGGAGGAGACAGAGAGGCACATGCAGTGTGCACAAGCATGCATGGACAACAGTGGAGGTCGGAGGAGACAAGAAAAAAGGCAAGGTGATGAAATTCATAAGAAATTCATTGAACATTATTATATATCCTTGCTATATATAATAATGCATGTATACGTTTACATATTCTACATATGAACAACTTACCTCTACAGCAGTGGAGGGAGTCCAGAATCCACCATACGGGTTAGTGGTGAGCATTATAGCGGGGCTGGCTGCCCTGCATGTGCCAAAGGACGAAAACCTGATGGGTCACAGAAGGAAGGGGAGGTGGGGTGAAGGGAGGGTTTACAGGAGGGATCACAATGGGGTGACATAGAGAGCACTATAGCATTATAGCGGGACTGGCTGCCCTGCACGTGCCGAAAGTCGAGAACCTGAGCGTTTACGGACGGGGGGTGGGGGAAAGGTGAGGATTACAGGAGGGAATAACAGGGGGGTGTTACAGGGCGGGGATGGTTCGATGAGTGGGCAGTCTAACGAGGCTGGCTGCTCTGCCAAGTGCCAAAAGGACGACAGTCTGAGGGGCTTTGAGTTACAACCACAGAGGTTGTAACCCCAATGCAACTAGCCACGAGAGCAACCCTACCATGAGTTGGTAACCCTACCATGAGTTGGTAACCCTACCATGAGTTGGTAACCCTACCACGAGTTGGTAACCCTACCATGAGTTGGTAACCCTACCATGAGTTGGTAACCCTACCATGAGTTGGTAACCCTACCACGAGTTGGTAACCCTACCATGAGTTGGTAACCCTACCATGAGTTGGTGATCTTGTTTGGCTCCAGCAGGTCTCGAGGCGAAATTTGTGTGATCACTACACCCAGAGGCGCCTCAAAGCTCCCGAAATAGTAACGAGACGTGCTACTAGCGAGTACATTGCTGCTGCTGCTGCCGCTGCTGTAACTGTCGCTGTAGCTGCTTCTGCCTCTGCTTCTGCTGCTACTGTTGCCGCCACTGCTGCTGCTCCTCCTTCTTCTCCCAATGCTGCTGCCACGGCCACCAAGCATACCACCAATTCCTGTTTGCCTCCCCAGAGGAAACCCATACACCTCCTTCACATGCCAACGCTGCTGCCTGTGATTTCTCCAATGCGTCCACTCCGGCTGATGCTTCTGCGTCTGCCTCTGCTGGTGCATGTGCTTCGCCACATGATGCCTGTGTCCCACGTGCTGCTGATCACCCATAAGCAGCCTGCTACCCACATGCTGCTTCTCATAACCCAACCTATGCGCGGCAGGCACTGCTCTTTCCTCTATCTCCTCCAGTTTCCTTCCCCCTTCCTTCCGCCAGGACCCCCATCCCAGCAGCATTCTCCCCTTCCGCCTTTGCCTCACCCTCCCCCAACTTCCCCTGCTGCTCCTCATCCCAGTCCTCTCCGATTTCCTCCCCACTTTCCTTCCACCTTTCCTCCCCCGTCCCCGCCCCCCTCCCCGCCCCCCTCCTCGCCCCCCTCCCCCATCCCTGCTGCCGCTGCTGCTGCCACCACCACTGCTCCAAGAGCTGCTTTGATCTGTGCCGTCCGTTGGGTTAGGATCAACGGTGCCGACCGTTGGATGTGGATCAAACAAAGACAGACCCAATGAACGGTCCACAGGCAGTGACACCCAATCTAACGGCTCAGATTCTCCTGCCTCCCCCTCCTCACTCCCTATATTTTCCCCCTCACTATCCCCTCTCACTCCCCCTCCCAGCTCCTCCCAAGCCTCTGCCGCAAAACCCAGACCTGCAGGCTTGGCAACAGCCCTGGTAGGCTTGGAAGAACTGGCAGCAGCGTTGCCGAGCCTGTCTTCTAGGCCCGTTCCCACCAAGCCTGGGGCTTGCCAGTCCGTTGTAGGCCCAAAGTCAGGTGTGTGAAAGTCAGAACCCATGGCCGATAGTTGTGCTGGTGTCGCTGCTGCTTGTGCTGCTGCTGTGAGTGAAGCTGATTTGGCCCTGCCGTGGTTGAGAAAAGGAGGGCGGAGTTGGGGGAGAATTAGGGGATAAGAGACATGGAAGGTTGGGCAGCTTCACTCACAGCAGTTTTGAGACTTTGATCAAATCACTTTGGAGAATTCCCAAAAGAGATCCCAACATGGTTTGGCAGAGAGTTGGGTGAGAGCGACATGAAAGGTGCATGAAGAAGTGTTTTGAGAAGTGTATGAAGAAAGGCGTCTCAAAACGCGTTGAGACTTTGGTCCACAACAACCCCCCTGTCCGTCTTGACATGGCTTTTCAAACTACCCACCTCACATCACCCACCCTCACCACAGCATTTTTCCCCGTACCACACCGCACCGCACCACTGCTCACCTCCCCCCTGCAGGGCAGCTCTGGGTGCGGCCGATGAACCGGGATCGGGCCACAACGACGCCCGTAACCGTCTTGACGTGGATGGCGAGGCCTGTATCAGCAAGCAAACCCCTTTGCACCCTCCCTCACCACTGCTCACCTCCCTCCACCTGGACAGGCTTGGGTGCGGCCGATGAACCGGCACCGATCCACAACGATGCCCGTGTCTGTCTTGATATGTATGGAGAGGCCATTGTCGATGAATGTGGAGGATTGGATGGTCATGAGACGTGTGATGTGCAGAAACATGCTGGTGAGGCAGGAGGGGGGGTTGGGGTGGGGGAGAGAGTGGGGGTGGAAAAGTTTTAGTCTTGACGTGGATGGCTAGGCCGTTGTCAATGAATGTGGAGGATTGGATGGTCATGAGACGTGTGATGTGCAGAAACATGCTGGTGAGGGGAGGGGAGGGGGGAGGAGAGAGTGAGTGGGGTGGAAGAGGTATAAGAGGAGGAGAGAGTGGGTATGGGGAGCATATAGTCTTGATGTGGAAGGTGAGGCCATGGCTGATGATGACGAGAGAGGAGTGGATGGTCATGAGATGCGTGATGAGCAGACGCATGGTGGGAGAAGGGGCCTTGGGGAGGGGAGGGGGATGTTATATGGGGAAAGAGTGGGTGTGGGAAGCAGGAAGATTGGATGGTCATCAGATGAGTGTCTGAAAGAGGGTAGGGGGTTTGGAGGAGTTTGAAAGGGGAGAGAGAGGAAGAGTGGTGAGAGGGGGAGAGAGATGGGAGGGGGAGGGGGAGGGAGAGAGTGCGTAAGGGAAAAGAGCATCGCCTTGATGTGGATGGGAAGAGCATCGCCTTGATGTGGATGGGAAGAGCATCGCCTTGATGTGGATGGAGAGGGAGGATTGGATGGGAAGAATGTGTCGAGGGATCGCTTTGCTAGTGTTTGTGTGCCATTGTAACGAGGTGACTCTTGAGTCGACTCAAAAGCCATGCGAAGAATGTGTGTCGAGGGATCGCTTCGCTAGTGTGCGAGCCAGTGTGTGACTCACCCAACTTCATTGCGGTAGATGAGGAAATTGGATAGGGTCACCTGCACGCATAAACGCACACACATGCACACGCACACGCACACACACACACATGCACACACATGCACACACATGCACACGCACACACATGCACACACACACGCACACACATGCACACGCATGCACACGCACACGCACACGCACACGCACACGCATGCACACGCACACGCACACGCACACGCACACGCACACGCATGCACGCGCCCACACGCATAAACGCACACACAGCAAGAGAGCAGGGGCGCAAAGGGGATAGCTCAAGAGCTGCACACACACACTCAGGTGCTGTAGCATAAAAGAGAAAGTCCTAGGTGTTCCTCTGCGCACACACACTCGGGTGTTCCTCTGCGCACACACACTCGGGTGCACTAACCCTCGCACCAGGAGCGTTAGGGAACATGCCACACACTCCAGGCCACGGGGGAAGAAGAAGAATTCAAACTTGGTTGGTCTGTATGTATGGTGTGGGCTGAATGCTGCTTTGCAACCGGCAAGCAAGAGCACTCACTCGCACACTCACACACAGGTGCACTCACCCTAGCACCAGGAGCATAGGGGAACATGGCGCAGGGGTAGGAGCAGAACCCAAACTTGGCTGAATGTGCCACATTCCCTGAGTAAAGGCCAAACTTGGTTTCTATGGGACTCATGCCGTGGCACTAGCAAGCAGACCAGCATGCGCACTGGCATGCACAGTAGCATGTACACTCACCCTGGCACCAGGAGTGTAGGGGAACATGCCGTGCAGGAGCGGAACCCAAACTTGGCCTCTATGGTACGGAGTGCATGCATGCTGTGGCATTAGCAAGCACGAGCACTAGCACGACAGTAGCACTCACCCTAGCACCGGGCGCATAGGGAAACATGCCATGGGGGTAGGAGCGGAACCCAAACTTGGCTGAATGCGCCACATTTCCCGAGTAAGTGCCGAACTTGGTTTCTATAGGGTGCATGTTACGGGCGTTGGGTAGGAGCTGGGATAGACCCCTCATCCCCTCCTTAAGCTCCGTCCAGTACCTGTTACAGGAGGTGCAGATTGTGACAAAACATTGGCAAGAAAGTACAAAAAGAATCACACAAATCAAGGCAAGGGCGAAGTAAGTGCGGAGATACATAGATGGACCCTGCATCCCCACCTTAAAGTCCACACCCCGAATTACACAACGAAGTCAACGAAAAAATTGTAGGTTCGGGAAACCCCAGAGACAGGTTCGGTGGGGAAATCGAGAACCAATCGCGTCAAAAACCCACTCAAAACCTTCGACCAATCACACGAAAGTGGTGACAGTTTTGGGGCCGACACAGTAATTCTGGATTGTGTCCTTTAAGCTGCTGCTCATTACCTGACAAAAGGATGCACAAATGACAAATTGAGACAAGTAGCTGATTTTTTCTCTTCAATGCAGCCGTTGTTGGGTTTTGGCAAATCACAATCCTCATTCACTCAATCACTCACCCCGAGTCCTCCGACCCAGCAGGCCATCCAGAACGTGCTACCTGCATTTGAGTCGACTCAAAAACGTGCTACCTGCATTTGAGTCGACTCAAAAACGTGCTACCTGCATTTGAGTCGACTCAAAAACGTGCTACCTGCATTTGAGTCGACTCAAAAACGTGCTACCTGCATTTGAGTCGACTCAAAAACGTGCTACCTGCATTTGAGTCGACTCAAAAACGTGCTACCTGCATTTGAGTCGACTCAAAAACGTGCTACCTGCATTTGAGTCGACTCAAAAACGTGCTACCTGCATTTGAGTCGACTCAAAAACGTGCTACCTGCATTTGAGTCGACTCAAAAACGTGCTACCTGCATTTGAGTCGACTCAAAAACGTGCTACCTGCATTTGAGTCGACTCAAAAACGTGCTACCTGCATTTGAGTCGACTCAAAAACGTGCTACCTGCATTTGAGTCGACTCAAAAACGTGCTACCTGCATTTGAGTCGACTCAAAAACGTGCTACCTGCATTTGAGTCGACTCAAAAACGTGCTACCTGCACCACCACACACCCCATTCACCCCGAGTCCTCTCACCCCGCTGCTCCATGCACAGCCCACCACCCGCCACCCACTCATCCAGAGTCCTCTGAGCCAGCAGCCACGTTATCAATGTAGTCGTTGTTGGGGTTGGCTGTCCCAGTCCTCAGTCAGTCAGTCACCCACTCATTCACCCACCCTCCCACCAACCCACTCACCCCGAATCCTCTGAGCCAGCTGCCACGTTATCAATGCAGTCGTTGTTGGGGTTGGCCCTCCAGAACGTGCTACCTGCACCATCGCATCACCCACTCTTTCCCTGCTGCTCCAAACATCACTACACCCCTACTCACTCACTCACTCACTCACCCTGAATCCTCCGACCCAGCAGCCACGTTATCAATGTAATCGTTGTTGGGGTTGGCCATCCAAAACGTGCTGGGCTTGTCGTCTGTGTGCTTATCGTACGACTCTTTAGAGGGGATAACCACCTTCACTGCAGGAAGGGCAGCAAGCGCACAAGCAGTCATGTGAGGAGGGGCAAGCAGCAAGCAAGAATCACATCACGGTTGCATACAGGCAGATTTTGAGGCAAGCAGATTTTAGAGGGGATAACCACCTTCACTGCAGGAGGGGCAGCAAGCGCGCAAGCAGCAAGCAAGAATCACATCACGGTTGCATACAGGCAGATTTTGAGGCGCCTCAAAAAAAGTTGCGGGTAATGAGACGACTTTTGAGGCGCCTCAAAAGAGGGGCAAGCAGCAAGCAAGGAATCACATCACATCACGGTTGCATACAGGCAGATTTTGAGGCTGCAGGGTGTTTTTGAGAATTCTAAAAAAACATACGCGAAACAATAACATGAATTTGACTTCTCCCATTACGCGTTCTGGGATCTTTTTGGAATTCCTAGAAAAACCCTCCATCCCCTGTCACGCCCTCTTTTACGCCCTCTCACGCCCTCTCACTCCTTCACACACCCTTTTGCTTGCCTTTCCTCCTCTCTCCTTCCTGCCCCACGTCCTCACTCTAGCCCACAAAACAAGAACAACCCACCTTTCCTCACGCTAATCCCAAGGTTCCTCTTGAATGAATTATTATTCTCTGAGCCTCTCCTCCACCAGGAAGCAGTGCCCCTTGGGATTACCCTCCACACTCTCTCACTATCACACCCCAAACAAGCACCCACCTTTCCGCATGCTGATCCCAAGGTTCCTCTTCAACACATTGTTATTCTCCGACCCTTCCTCCACGAGGAAGAGGCAGTGCCCCTCCACGAGGAATAGGCAGTGCCCCTCCACGAGGAAGAGGCAGTGCCCCTCCACGAGGAAGAGGCAGTGCCCCTCCACGAGGAAGAGGCAGTGCCCCTCCACGAGGAAGAGGCAGTGCCCCTCCACGAGGAAGAGGCAGTGCCCCTCCACGAGGAAGAGGCAGTGCCCCTCCACGAGGAAGAGGCAGTGCCCCTCCACGAGGAAGAGGCAGTGCCCCTCCACGAGGAAGAGGCAGTGCCCCTCCACGAGGAAGAGGCAGTGCCCCTCCACGAGGAATAGGCAGTGCCCCTCCACGAGGAAGAGGCAGTGCCCCTCCACGAGGAAGAGGCAGTGCCCCTCCACGAGGAAGAGGCAGTGCCCCTCCACGAGGAAGAGGCAGTGCCCCTCCACGAGGAAGAGGCAGTGCCCCTCCACGAGGAAGAGGCAGTGCCCCTCCACGAGGAAGAGGCAGTGCCCCTCCACGAGGAAGAGGCAGTGCCCCTTGCCCTCTCAGCAGAATCACTTCTGAGCGCGCCCAAACTCATTATGTCTCAACAACCCCTCACACCAACAGCTCCCCACCCACCTTTCCTAACGCTGATCCCCAGGTTCCTCCAAAACACATTATAATTCTCCAGCCCCTCCTCCTCCACCGGTTTGCAGTGCCCCTTGCCCTCAGTCAAAGCAGTTTTTAAGCCCGCCCACCCTCTCTATGTCCCACAACACCAACCCGCACCCACCTTTTCTCACGCTGATCCCCAGGTTCCGCCTGAAAACGTTATTGTTCTCCGAGCCTTCCTCCACCAGGAAGCAGTGCCCCTTGCTCTCGTATGTCACCGTGTCTTCAATCGTCATGTTGCTCGTTGCATGGATCACCACACAGCGCTGCCAAGGGTTTAAATGGTGCAGAGAGGGGTTTGAGTGGATTGGGGTTGGTGCATGGTCAGGTCACCTTGCTCTCCCACCCTTCCTCCACCAGGAAGCAGTGCCCCTTGCTCTCGTATGTCGCCGTGGGACGGGGGACAGTTGGTATACAAGCAGTGCCCCTTGCTCTCGTATGTCGCCGTGGGACGGGGGACAGTTGGTATACAAGCAGTGCCCCTTGCTCTCGTATGTCGCCGTGGGACGGGGGGACAGTTGGTATACAAGCAGTGCCCCTTGCTCTCGTATGTCACCGTGTCTTCAATCGTCATGTTGCTCGTTGCATGGATCACCACACAGCGCTGCCAAGGGTTTAAATGGTACAGAGAGGGGTTTGAGTGGATTGGGGTTGGTGCATGGTCAGGTCACCTTGCTCTCCCACCCTTCCTCCACCAGGAAGCAGTGCCCCTTGCTCTCGTATGTCGCCGTGGGACGGGGGACAGTTGGTATACAAGCAGTGCCCCTTGCTCTCGTATGTCGCCGTGGGACGGGGGACAGTTGGTATACAAGCAGTGCCCCTTGCTCTCGTATGTCGCCGTGGGACGGGGGACAGTTGGTATACAAGCAGTGCCCCTTGCTCTCGTATGTCGCCGTGGGACGGGGGACAGTTGGTATACAAGCAGTGCCCCTTGCTCTCGTATGTCGCCGTGGGACGGGGGACAGTTGGTATACAAGCAGTGCCCCTTGCTCTCGTATGTCACCGTGTCTTCAATCGTCATGTTGCTCGTTGCATGGATCACCACACAGCGCTGCCAAGGGTTTAAATGGTGCAGAGAGGGGTTTGAGTGGATTGGGGTTGGTGCATGGTCAGGTCACCTTGCTCTCCCACCCTTCCTCCACCAGGAAGCAGTGCCCCTTGCTCTCGTATGTCGCCGTGGGACGGGGGACAGTTGGTATACAAGCAGTGCCCCTTGCTCTCGTATGTCGCCGTGGGACGGGGGACAGTTGGTATACAAGCAGTGCCCCTTGCTCTCGTATGTCGCCGTGGGACGGGGGACAGTTGGTATACAAGCAGTGCCCCTTGCTCTCGTATGTCACCGTGTCTTCAATCGTCATGTTGCTCGTTGCATGGATCACCACACAGCGCTGCCAAGGGTTTAAATGGTGCAGAGAGGGGTTTGAGTGGATTGGGGTTGGTGCATGGTCAGGTCACCTTGCTCTCCCACCCTTCCTCCACCAGGAAGCAGTGCCCCTTGCTCTCGTATGTCGCCGTGGGACGGGGGACAGTTGGTATACAAGCAGTGCCCCTTGCTCTCGTATGTCGCCGTGGGACGGGGGACAGTTGGTATACAAGCAGTGCCCCTTGCTCTCGTATGTCGCCGTGGGACGGGGGACAGTTGGTATACAAGCAGTGCCCCTTGCTCTCGTATGTCGCCGTGGGACGGGGGACAGTTGGTATACAAGCAGTGCCCCTTGCTCTCGTATGTCGCCGTGGGACGGGGGACAGTTGGTATACAAGCAGTGCCCCTTGCTCTCGTATGTCACCGTGTCTTCAATCGTCATGTTGCTCGTTGCATGGATCACCACACAGCGCTGCCAAGGGTTTAAATGGTACAGAGAGGGGTTTGAGTGGATTGGGGTTGGTGCATGGTCAGGTCACCTTGCTCTCCCACCCTTCCTCCACCAGGAAGCAGTGCCCCTTGCTCTCGTATGTCGCTGTGGGACGGGGGACAGTTGGTATACAAGCAGTGCCCCTTGCTCTCGTATGTCGCCGTGGGACGGGGGACAGTTGGTATACAAGCAGTGCCCCTTGCTCTCGTATGTCACCGTGGGACAGGGGACAGTTGGTATACAAGCAGTGCCCCTTGCTCTCGTATGTCACCGTGTCTTCAATCGTCATGTTGCTCGTTGCATGGATCACCACACAGCGCTGCCAAGGGTTTAAATGGTGCAGAGAGGGGTTTGAGTGGATTGGGGTTGGTGCATGGTCAGGTCACCTTGCTCTCCCACCCTTCCTCCACCAGGAAGCAGTGCCCCTTGCTCTCGTATGTCGCCGTGGGACGGGGGACAGTTGGTATACAAGCAGTGCCCCTTGCTCTCGTATGTCGCCGTGGGACGGGGGACAGTTGGTATACAAGCAGTGCCCCTTGCTCTCGTATGTCGCCGTGGGACGGGGGGACAGTTGGTATACAAGCAGTGCCCCTTGCTCTCGTATGTCACCGTGTCTTCAATCGTCATGTTGCTCGTTGCATGGATCACCACACAGCGCTGCCAAGGGTTTAAATGGTACAGAGAGGGGTTTGAGTGGATTGGGGTTGGTGCATGGTCAGGTCACCTTGCTCTCCCACCCTTCCTCCACCAGGAAGCAGTGCCCCTTGCTCTCGTATGTCGCCGTGGGACGGGGGACAGTTGGTATACAAGCAGTGCCCCTTGCTCTCGTATGTCGCCGTGGGACGGGGGACAGTTGGTATACAAGCAGTGCCCCTTGCTCTCGTATGTCGCCGTGGGACGGGGGACAGTTGGTATACAAGCAGTGCCCCTTGCTCTCGTATGTCGCCGTGGGACGGGGGACAGTTGGTATACAAGCAGTGCCCCTTGCTCTCGTATGTCGCCGTGGGACGGGGGACAGTTGGTATACAAGCAGTGCCCCTTGCTCTCGTATGTCACCGTGTCTTCAATCGTCATGTTGCTCGTTGCATGGATCACCACACAGCGCTGCCAAGGGTTTAAATGGTGCAGAGAGGGGTTTGAGTGGATTGGGGTTGGTGCATGGTCAGGTCACCTTGCTCTCCCACCCTTCCTCCACCAGGAAGCAGTGCCCCTTGCTCTCGTATGTCGCCGTGGGACGGGGGACAGTTGGTATACAAGCAGTGCCCCTTGCTCTCGTATGTCGCCGTGGGACGGGGGACAGTTGGTATACAAGCAGTGCCCCTTGCTCTCGTATGTCGCCGTGGGACGGGGGACAGTTGGTATACAAGCAGTGCCCCTTGCTCTCGTATGTCACCGTGTCTTCAATCGTCATGTTGCTCGTTGCATGGATCACCACACAGCGCTGCCAAGGGTTTAAATGGTGCAGAGAGGGGTTTGAGTGGATTGGGGTTGGTGCATGGTCAGGTCACCTTGCTCTCCCACCCTTCCTCCACCAGGAAGCAGTGCCCCTTGCTCTCGTATGTCGCTGTGGGACGGGGGACAGTTGGTATACAAGCAGTGCCCCTTGCTCTCGTATGTCGCCGTGGGACGGGGGACAGTTGGTATACAAGCAGTGCCCCTTGCTCTCGTATGTCGCCGTGGGACGGGGGACAGTTGGTATACAAGCAGTGCCCCTTGCTCTCGTATGTCGCCGTGGGACGGGGGACAGTTGGTATACAAGCAGTGCCCCTTGCTCTCGTATGTCGCCGTGGGACGGGGGACAGTTGGTATACAAGCAGTGCCCCTTGCTCTCGTATGTCGCCGTGGGACGGGGGACAGTTGGTATACAAGCAGTGCCCCTTGCTCTCGTATGTCACCGTGTCTTCAATCGTCATGTTGCTCGTTGCATGGATCACCACACAGCGCTGCCAAGGGTTTAAATGGTACAGAGAGGGGTTTGAGTGGATTGGGGTTGGTGCATGGTCAGGTCACCTTGCTCTCCCACCCTTCCTCCACCAGGAAGCAGTGCCCCTTGCTCTCGTATGTCGCCGTGGGACGGGGGACAGTTGGTATACAAGCAGTGCCCCTTGCTCTCGTATGTCGCCGTGGGACGGGGGACAGTTGGTATACAAGCAGTGCCCCTTGCTCTCGTATGTCACCGTGGGACAGGGGACAGTTGGTATACAAGCAGTGCCCCTTGCTCTCGTATGTCACCGTGTCTTCAATCGTCATGTTGCTCGTTGCATGGATCACCACACAGCGCTGCCAAGGGTTTAAATGGTGCAGAGAGGGGTTTGAGTGGATTGGGGTTGGTGCATGGTCAGGTCACCTTGCTCTCCCACCCTTCCTCCACCAGGAAGCAGTGCCCCTTGCTCTCGTATGTCGCCGTGGGACGGGGGACAGTTGGTATACAAGCAGTGCCCCTTGCTCTCGTATGTCGCCGTGGGACGGGGGACAGTTGGTATACAAGCAGTGCCCCTTGCTCTCGTATGTCGCCGTGGGACGGGGGGACAGTTGGTATACAAGCAGTGCCCCTTGCTCTCGTATGTCACCGTGTCTTCAATCGTCATGTTGCTCGTTGCATGGATCACCACACAGCGCTGCCAAGGGTTTAAATGGTACAGAGAGGGGTTTGAGTGGATTGGGGTTGGTGCATGGTCAGGTCACCTTGCTCTCCCACCCTTCCTCCACCAGGAAGCAGTGCCCCTTGCTCTCGTATGTCGCCGTGGGACGGGGGACAGTTGGTATACAAGCAGTGCCCCTTGCTCTCGTATGTCGCCGTGGGACGGGGGACAGTTGGTATACAAGCAGTGCCCCTTGCTCTCGTATGTCGCCGTGGGACGGGGGACAGTTGGTATACAAGCAGTGCCCCTTGCTCTCGTATGTCGCCGTGGGACGGGGGACAGTTGGTATACAAGCAGTGCCCCTTGCTCTCGTATGTCGCCGTGGGACGGGGGACAGTTGGTATACAAGCAGTGCCCCTTGCTCTCGTATGTCACCGTGTCTTCAATCGTCATGTTGCTCGTTGCATGGATCACCACACAGCGCTGCCAAGGGTTTAAATGGTGCAGAGAGGGGTTTGAGTGGATTGGGGTTGGTGCATGGTCAGGTCACCTTGCTCTCCCACCCTTCCTCCACCAGGAAGCAGTGCCCCTTGCTCTCGTATGTCGCCGTGGGACGGGGGACAGTTGGTATACAAGCAGTGCCCCTTGCTCTCGTATGTCGCCGTGGGACGGGGGACAGTTGGTATACAAGCAGTGCCCCTTGCTCTCGTATGTCGCCGTGGGACGGGGGACAGTTGGTATACAAGCAGTGCCCCTTGCTCTCGTATGTCACCGTGTCTTCAATCGTCATGTTGCTCGTTGCATGGATCACCACACAGCGCTGCCAAGGGTTTAAATGGTGCAGAGAGGGGTTTGAGTGGATTGGGGTTGGTGCATGGTCAGGTCACCTTGCTCTCCCACCCTTCCTCCACCAGGAAGCAGTGCCCCTTGCTCTCGTATGTCGCTGTGGGACGGGGGACAGTTGGTATACAAGCAGTGCCCCTTGCTCTCGTATGTCGCCGTGGGACGGGGGACAGTTGGTATACAAGCAGTGCCCCTTGCTCTCGTATGTCGCCGTGGGACGGGGGACAGTTGGTATACAAGCAGTGCCCCTTGCTCTCGTATGTCGCCGTGGGACGGGGGACAGTTGGTATACAAGCAGTGCCCCTTGCTCTCGTATGTCGCCGTGGGACGGGGGACAGTTGGTATACAAGCAGTGCCCCTTGCTCTCGTATGTCACCGTGTCTTCAATCGTCATGTTGCTCGTTGCATGGATCACCACACAGCGCTGCCAAGGGTTTAAATGGTGCAGAGAGGGGTTTGAGTGGATTGGGGTTGGTGCATGGTCAGGTCACCTTGCTCTCCCACCCTTCCTCCACCAGGAAGCAGTGCCCCTTGCTCTCGTATGTCGCCGTGGGACGGGGGACAGTTGGTATACAAGCAGTGCCCCTTGCTCTCGTATGTCGCCGTGGGACGGGGGACAGTTGGTATACAAGCAGTGCCCCTTGCTCTCGTATGTCGCCGTGGGACGGGGGACAGTTGGTATACAAGCAGTGCCCCTTGCTCTCGTATGTCACCGTGTCTTCAATCGTCATGTTGCTCGTTGCATGGATCACCACACAGCGCTGCCAAGGGTTTAAATGGTGCAGAGAGGGGTTTGAGTGGATTGGGGTTGGTGCATGGTCAGGTCACCTTGCTCTCCCACCCTTCCTCCACCAGGAAGCAGTGCCCCTTGCTCTCGTATGTCGCCGTGGGACGGGGGACAGTTGGTATACAAGCAGTGCCCCTTGCTCTCGTATGTCGCCGTGGGACGGGGGACAGTTGGTATACAAGCAGTGCCCCTTGCTCTCGTATGTCGCCGTGGGACGGGGGACAGTTGGTATACAAGCAGTGCCCCTTGCTCTCGTATGTCACCGTGTCTTCAATCGTCATGTTGCTCGTTGCATGGATCACCACACAGCGCTGCCAAGGGTTTAAATGGTGCAGAGAGGGGTTTGAGTGGATTGGGGTTGGTGCATGGTCAGGTCACCTTGCTCTCCCACCCTTCCTCCACCAGGAAGCAGTGCCCCTTGCTCTCGTATGTCGCTGTGGGACGGGGGACAGTTGGTATACAAGCAGTGCCCCTTGCTCTCGTATGTCGCCGTGGGACGGGGGACAGTTGGTATACAAGCAGTGCCCCTTGCTCTCGTATGTCGCCGTGGGACGGGGGACAGTTGGTATACAAGCAGTGCCCCTTGCTCTCGTATGTCGCCGTGGGACGGGGGACAGTTGGTATACAAGCAGTGCCCCTTGCTCTCGTATGTCGCCGTGGGACGGGGGACAGTTGGTATACAAGCAGTGCCCCTTGCTCTCGTATGTCACCGTGTCTTCAATCGTCATGTTGCTCGTTGCATGGATCACCACACAGCGCTGCCAAGGGTTTAAATGGTGCAGAGAGGGGTTTGAGTGGATTGGGGTTGGTGCATGGTCAGGTCACCTTGCTCTCCCACCCTTCCTCCACCAGGAAGCAGTGCCCCTTGCTCTCGTATGTCGCCGTGGGACGGGGGACAGTTGGTATACAAGCAGTGCCCCTTGCTCTCGTATGTCGCCGTGGGACGGGGGACAGTTGGTATACAAGCAGTGCCCCTTGCTCTCGTATGTCGCCGTGGGACGGGGGACAGTTGGTATACAAGCAGTGCCCCTTGCTCTCGTATGTCGCCGTGGGACGGGGGACAGTTGGTATACAAGCTGTGCCCCTTGCTCTCGTATGTCGCCGTGGGACGGGGGACAGTTGGTATACAAGCAGTGCCCCTTGCTCTCGTATGTCGCCGTGGGACGGGGGACAGTTGGTATACAAGCAGTGCCCCTTGCTCTCGTATGTCGCCGTGGGACGGGGGACAGTTGGTATACAAGCAGTGCCCCTTGCTCTCGTATGTCGCCGTGGGACGGGGGACAGTTGGTATACAAGCAGTGCCCCTTGCTCTCGTATGTCGCCGTGGGACGGGGGACAGTTGGTATACAAGCAGTGCCCCTTGCTCTCGAACGTCACCGTGTCTTCAATCGTCATGTTGCTCGTGGCATGGATCACCACACAGCGCTGGGAAGGGTACACAGGGGGTTTGGATCGGTTAAAATGGTTATAGAGGGGAGTGGAATGGTAATAAGCAGTGCCCTTGCTCTCATACGTCACCGTGTCTGCAATCGTCATGTTGCTCGTCGCGTGAATCACCACACAGCGCTGAGGGGGGGGTGTAAATGGAAGAGAGAGGAATCCAAATGGTAAAGAATGGGGTTTGGATGGAAGCAGGACACACTTTGCTGTATTTACGGCGGATATAAAATACAATACAATTGATACAAGTAAAGTGCGTTTTTGAACGTCTAAAAAATACACTTATTACCTGAATCCACCCTTCACCTGCTTGCTATTAACGATCGCATTCTTGCGCACGACATGACTCTGATTCGCCTCCCCACACACGTGGAAGTGCAGCAGGTAGCGCCCCAGCACGCCCCAGCATGCGCGCGGTCAAAACATAAGTTGTTACTGTGCTTATTCATTCTACTATGCAAAACCATCTCCTGCTTGCTGCTTTGCTGCCCACCTGCTTATTTATTACGTTACACCGTCTCACCTGCTTGCTGCCTACTCCTCACCTGCTTGCTGCCTACTCCTCACCTGCTTGCTGTACACAATCGCATTCTTCCGCACGACGTGGCTTTGATTCGCCTCTCCACACACGTGGAAGTGCAGCGGGTACCGCCCCAGCACGCCCTGCTGTCCCATATAAGCAAACTGAACTCCTTCGATGAATTGAGGGGTCTGGGTCATAAACACCATGAAATGACCGCCTGGGAGAGGGAAGGAGGGGTGCAATGCGGTGCAGAGGGACGGAGGGGTGCAAGTAATCTCAAACAGTGGAAGTGCAGCGGGTAGCGCCCCAGCACGCCCTGCTGCCCCATACAAGCAAACTGAACTCCTTCGATGAATTGAGGGGTCTGGGTCATGAAGACCATGAAGTGCCCTCCTGAGAGGCAAGGAGAGAGGGACGGAGGGGTGCAGTGTGGTGAGAGGAAGGAAAATTGAACCTTCACAAACGGTGGAAGTGCAGCGGGTACCGACCCAGCACGCCCTGTTGCCCCATGTAGGTGAATTGAACTCCTTCGATGAATTGAGGGGTTTGGGTCATGAAGACCATGAAGTGACCTCCTGAGAGGGGTTGAGGGAAGGACGGAGGGATGCAATGTGGTGAGACAAAGGCTTTTTTAGCCCCCCTCTTCACGTGTGGAGTGGAAGTGCAGTGGGTAGCGCCCCAGCACGCCCTGCTGCCCCATGTAAGCGAACTGCACCCCCTCTATAAACGGAGGGGTCTGGGTCATGACGACCATGAAGTGCCCTCCTGCCTGTACCCTCTGCAGGATTTTTGAGGCGCCTCAAAAACCCTCTGCAGGGGGGTGTGAGGGAGTGGTTTTTGAGGCGCCTCAAAAACCCTCTGCAGGGGGGTGTGAGGAAGTGGTTTTTGAGGCGCCTCAAAAACCCTCTGCAGGGGGGTGTGAGGGAGTGGTAGACAGAGTGATCTTAGGGACTTGTCTAAGTGGGTACCGTACCGCCCCAGCAGTACCCTCTGCTGTTTTCCAGACCAACACCCCCTACCCTGCCCTCCAGCACGGTCACCATTCATTATAGTCACACCGACCTTCCAGCTCGTATTTCCCCGTCTCATGCACCCCGTGGATCACGATGTTGCGGTGCAGCAGCCCCACCTCTCCTCTCACGTCCACCGCCCCTCCGAACCCGTCCAGCACGGCCTTGGGATTGCCGTCGTGGGAATACTTTAGGGGGCCTGAAAGCAATATGCGGTAGCCCTGAGGGTGGGGGGAAACTGGGGGGGGAGAGAGGGGGAAAAGAGGGAAAGGGAGGGAGCAGGGAGATGACAATGATTCGGTGTGTTCCGGTGCAGCAGCCCCACCTCCCCCCTCACGTCCACCGCCCCTCCAAACCCATCAGGGATGGCCTCGGGATTGCCGTCGTGCGAGTATTTGAGAGGGGCTGGGAGTGTTACGCGGTAGCCCTGAGGGTGTCGGGTGAGTGGGGGATGGTGGAGGGGAAAAAGGTAAGGGAAGAATGGGTCGGACCAGAGAAACCCTGTACGCTACGGCCTCACGTCATTTCCCCGTTTCCTCCACCTGCTATATCGCAATGATTTGGTGTGTTTCCGGTGCAGCAACCCCATCTCCCCCCTCACCTCCACCACCCCTCCGAACCCGTCAGGGATGGCCGTGGGATTGCTGCCATGGGAATACTTTAGAGGGGTGGTGAGTGCAATAGAGCACCATGTAGGTGCCATGGTTTCAATACGTGGCCACGGCGTATGGCCGTGGGATTGCTGCCATGGGAATACTTAGAGGGGTGGTGAGTGTTATGCGGTAACTTTGAGTGTGAGGGGCGACTGGGTGAGAAGAGAAGGGTAAGGGAAGGGAAAAAATGGGTATGAATGGGAAGAGTAACTGGCATCTGGCATGGCTGTGAGCGATATGGGAGGGGCAGGGAAAGAGAAGGCAGGGAAAGAGAAGGCAGGGAAAGAGAAGCATGCAATCCATATGGCTGTCATGGTAGTAGTACTTGAGGTGGGAGGAGGAAGGAGGGAGGAGGGAGGAGGGAGGAGGGAGGAGGGAGGCGGGAGGAGGGAGGAGGGAGGAGGGAGGAGGGAGGAGGGAGGAGGGAGGCGGGAGGAGGGAGGAGGGAGGAGGGAGGAGGGAGGCGGGAGGAGGGAGGCGGGAGGAGGGAGGAGGGAGGAGGGAGGAGGGAGACGGGAGGAGGGAGGAGGGAGGAGGGAGGAGGGAGGCGGGAGGAGGGAGGAGGGAGGAGGGAGGAGGGAGGAGGGAGGAGGGAGGAGTTTGGCATCGTAGGAATGATTGGGTAGCTCAGAGCTACCGTGAGGAGGGGGGCTGTGAGCGATATACAGTGACTTCTATTGGGGGCTGTGAGCGATATACAGTGACTTCTATTGGGGGCTGTGAGCGATATACAGTGACTTCTATTGGGGGCTGTGAGCGATATACAGTGACTTCTATTGGGGGCTGTGAGCGATATACAGTGACTTCTATTGGGGGCTGTGAGCGATATACAGTGACTTCTATTGGGGGCTGTGAGCGATATACAGTGACTTCTATTGGGGGCTGTGAGCGATATACAGTGACTTCTATTGGGGGCTGTGAGCGATATACAGTGACTTCTATTGGGGGCTGTGAGCGATATACAGTGACTTCTATTGGGGGCTGTGAGCGATATACAGTGACTTCTATTGGGGGCTGTGAGCGATATACAGTGACTTCTATTGGGGGCTGTGAGCGATATACAGTGACTTCTATTGGGGGCTGTGAGCGATATACAGTGACTTCTATTGGGGGCTGTGAGCGATATACAGTGACTTCTATTGGGGGCTGTGAGCGATATACAGTGACTTCTATTGGGGGCTGTGAGCGATATACAGTGACTTCTATTGGGGGCTGTGAGCGATATACAGTGACTTCTATTGGGGGCTGTGAGCGATATACAGTGACTTCTATTGGGGGCTGTGAGCGATATACAGTGACTTCTATTGGGGGCTGTGAGCGATATACAGTGACTTCTATTGGGGGCTGTGAGCGATATACAGTGACTTCTATTGGGGGCTGTGAGCGATATACAGTGACTTCTATTGGGGGCTGTGAGCGATATACAGTGACTTCTATTGGGGGCTGTGAGCGATATACAGTGACTTCTATTGGGGGCTGTGAGCGATATACAGTGACTTCTATTGGGGGCTGTGAGCGATATACAGTGACTTCTATTGGGGGCTGTGAGCGATATACAGTGACTTCTATTGGGGGCTGTGAGCGATATACAGTGACTTCTATTGGGGGCTGTGAGCGATATACAGTGACTTCTATTGGGGGCTGTGAGCGATATACAGTGACTTCTATTGGGGGCTGTGAGCGATATACAGTGACTTCTATTGGGGGCTGTGAGCGATATACAGTGACTTCTATTGGGGCTGTGAGCGATATACAGTGACTCTATTGGGCTTGAGCGATATACAGTGACTTCTATTGGGGGCTGTGAGCGATATACAGTGACTTCTATTGGGGGCTGTGAGCGATATACAGTGACTTTTGAGTCGACTCAAAAGTCACCTAGCTACAATGAGGAGGGGGACTGTGAGGTAGCTCAGATATACGGTAGCTCTGAGGTTGGGGACGATTGGGTGGGGTGGAGGGGATGTGAACAGGAAGGAGTCACGAGGTGACTTTTGAGCTGAGTCAAAAGTTACTAGGAAGGAGTCACTTCTGAGAATTCTCGGGAGGGAGGTTGGATGGGATTGAAGTGAACCGAACTGTGTCTAGACACACTTTTCCGCTACTAATACCCTGTGTAGTGTTTTTCACACAACCACACCGCAGTGCACCACATCAAACAGCACCAAGCCGAACCAAACCAAACTGAACCGCGCTCCACCCATACACACCTCCTGCAATCACTGCCTTTTCGGCTTCGTCCATCTTCGCACTCGTAGACGCAATCGCAATCTCGCCGCCCACCGGCCACGTGCTGACATCAGCGTTCACCACGATCTCCTTCTGGCCGGCGATCGCCGTCTTATTCAAGCGCACCCACACCGGCATGGAGGGCGGGCCTGGGAGGCCGTGCAAGTCCACCTGCCCTCCGACCTTGGTGGTGGGAAAAAGGAGAGAAGTAGAGGGGTGGAAAAGGGTGGAGAAGGAAGAGGAAAAGGAAGAGGAAAAGGAGGCGGTTCTTCTGTTTAAGTGCACCCACCCTGCCACTGGCATGGACAGCGGGCCTGGGAGGCCGTGCAAGCCCACCTGCCCCCCCACCTTGGCGTGGGGGAAGAAGAGAGAAGAGGGAGAGGAGAGAGGGGACGGATAGGGTGGAAGGCAGGGGAAGAAGGGGTAAAACGAAGGGTTCTATTCAAGTGCACCCACACAGGCATGGACGGCGGGTCTGGTAGGCCGTGCAAGCCCACCTGTCTCTCCTCTGCCGCCCACCACAGGGAGGATATGTTGATATCACTTTTGAGAATTCTCATAAGTGATTTCACCGCAGGGAGGATATGTTGATATCACTTTTGAGAAAACTCATAAGTGATTTCACCGCAGGGAGGATATGTTGATATCACTTTTGAGAATTCTCATAAGTGATTTCACCGCAGGGAGGATATGTTGATATCACTTTTGAGAATTCTCATAAGTGATTTCACCGCAGGGAGGATATGTTGATATCACTTTTGAGAATTCTCATAAGTGATTTCGCCGCAGGGAGGATATGTTGATATCACTTTTGAGAATTCTCATAAGTGATTTCACCGCAGGGAGGATATGTTGATATCACTTTTGAGAATTCTCATAAGTGATTTCACCGCAGGGAGGATATGTTGATATCACTTTTGAGAATTCTCATAAGTGATTTCACCGCAGGGAGGATGTGCATCCGTACATGTTACATGCACGTTAGTACGCCCCACTCACAGCACTACCACCTCTCACCACAGCAAACACCTTGTGGGCCAGAGGCCTGGGAAAGGCGGGTTCGGGCGGGGGGAAGAGCGTGAAGCCATACTCTCTCCTCTGCCTGCCTCTTACTGGGAGTGTTGAGGAACCGAACACACATTCACCACTACTCACCACTACTCACCACAGCAAACACCTTGTGGGCCAGAGGCCTGGGAAAGGCGGGTTCGGGCGGGGGGAAGAGCGTGAAGCCATACTCTCTCCTCTGCCTGCCTCTTACTGGGAGTGTTGAGGAACCGAACACACATTCACCACTACTCACCACTACTCACCACAGCAAACACCTTGTGGCCCAAGGGCCTAGGGAAGGCAGGTTCGGCCGGGGGGAAGAGCGTGAAGGCGTACTCTCTCCTCTGCCGCCCGCTGTTGGGCGTGAGCGTGAACAGTGCCTGGGCGGCAAACTGCTTGTCCTTTTCCCCCACCGTCAGCCGCCCGGTGACTATAATGAAGTTAGCACGGACCTCAATGCGCGGCAGGCGTGGCTTATTGTCTAGGACCCTGATGGATGAAGGGAGGTGATGAGGATGTGATGTGACAATAACGAATAAAAGGGATCCTAACAAAGAGTACTATAATGAAGCTAAGCCACGCCACACGGCACAACAGCAGCACCACCAGCACCACCAGCACACTTTCCTCTCCCAGTACTCACTTCAACCACCCGTGCACGTGTAGCGTGTCGAGGGTCACATTCGCCACATCCACCCGCACAGCCATGCTACTCACACGGCACAGTGCCATCGCCTGCTGTGTTTTGAGTCGAACTATCTCCTTCCCTCGCACTCACTTGAGCCATCCGTGCACGTGCAGAGTATCAAGGGTCACATTTGCCACGTCCAGCAGCACAGCCATGCCGCACACACGGCACAGCAGCAGCAGCACCACTATAAAGCATACTCTTACTTGAGCCATCCGTGCACGTGTAGCGTGTCGAGGGTCACATTCGCCACGTCCAGCAGCACAGCCATGCCACACGGCACTGTCACGTTGCGTCCTGCCCTTGACCGCACCCCAGGGGGGTCCCTGCTGCCCTTGAAAGCCGCCCCCCATACAGTCACATCGCTCCATTTACTCCACCCTGGTTGGCGAGATTGTGAAGGGGGAGAGGGCGGAGAGAGAGGGGAGAGAGTGGAGCGTTGAGAGTAGCATAGCACAGCCATGCCGCATGGCTGGATTTTTTAGTCGACTCAAAAAGCAGCACAGCACAGCCATGCCACATGACTGGCACTGTCACGTTCCCTCCTGCTCTTGACCGCACCCCAGGGGAGTCCCTGCTGCCCTTGAACGCTGCCCCCCATACAGTCACGTCACTCCGCCTGCTCCACCCTGGTTGGTGTGATGAGGAGAGGGCGGGACGAGAAGTGGGGAAACCGAGGGGTGAGAGAGGTGAGAGGGGAAGAGAGGGAGAAGCGGGGACAGGAAGACAGCAAGTAATCAATGGGGGCTGCTTGAAACGGATTGCTGCCCCTCTATGCTACCACCCCCCATACAGTCACATCGCTCCGCCTGCTCCACCCTGGTTGGTGTGATTGTAGCGAGGGGAAGACGGGGAGAGAGGGTCAGTAAGAGAAGGAAAGCGAGCAGCACAGCACAGCCATGCCATGGGGCACAGTAGCGCTCCTTCCTGCTCTTCATCGCAGCCCAGGGGGGTCCCTGCTGCCCCTGAAAGCTGCCCACCATACAGTCACATCGTCCCAACTGCTTCTCCTGCTCCACCTGGTGAGATGGTGAGAACGAGAGAGAGGAGGGAGAGGGTTGGGAGGAACAGTCACTTTCCCTCCTGCTCTTGACTGCACCCCATGGGGGTCCCAGCTGCTCCTGAAAGCTGCCCCCCTTACAGTCACATCGCTCCACCTGTTCCCACCTGGTTGGTGTGATTGTAACGAGGAGAAGGTGGGGAGATAGGGACGGGAGGGGAGAGGAGAGAGGGACGGCAAGAGAAGGGATAAAGGGGAGAGGGGGAGAGGGGAAAGAGGAAGGGGAGAAAGGGGAGAGCAGGGGACGGGGAGAAGCAGCACGCACTAGGGCGGAGGCTGCGTGCGCTCATGGGCGGAACGTACCTCCGGGGGGTCCGCTCATGGGCGGAAGCGGGCACGACGGGCGGAACACGTCCAGCACGCTCATTGGCGCAGCGCGCGCAGAAGCCACGCCGCCGGGGAAGAGAAACGGCGCGCGGAACGATGATGGTGGCGCGGGGGAGAACGGCGCGGGGAAGAGGAGGAGCGCGACAAGGGGGAGGAGCAGAAACCCGTCGGCGGAGGGAAAGAGTGTATTGCGGAAGTTTCGGGGGGAGCGGCCATGGCGGAAGGAGCGGAAACTGCGGGGACTCCTCGGATGAGAAAGATAAGGAGCTGGGGCTGGGGGGGCCATGATCCAATATATCTCGCGGTGCTGCGCGCGTGGCGTGCACGTGCTGCACACGTGGCGCCTCACGTGCTGCTGACGTGGCTAAAGCCGAATTGCGTGATTCTCACGGGGGATGAATCTCTGCGCTTTAGTCCCACGCGTGCGCTACTTGCGACAGGGAACTTCTGTCGCACTAACATTGGCCTGGAGTCACGTAGTCACTGCATCCGCCGCGACAGCCCACGGTCAACGAAATTCAAAGGTAAAGTCCATACGGGGCTCATGGGTGCGCGACGCAGGGACGGTACAAGTAGTGCGTTAGTCGCCCGCACGATTACAGCTCGGATTCAGCTTGGAACGAGAACAGAGACGGAGAAAGGCGGCGAGGAGAGGAAAAGTGCGACGCGTGTGGGTCAGTTGCGCTAGTCAGGCTCGTGTTGGGGCTGCACAGCGCTTTGCGAGAACGAGCGAAAGTCGCCACTGGCAATAAACAGATTCGCAACTCTCGGGATAGGGTAACCCGTGCTGCAAGCTTCACGCTCAGCCAATTGGCTGTTCCAAGTTGCGTTGTTGGTGGCACCAGTATTACCCCTCGCTACACGCCGCACGCCGAATGTAACCGTCCTATGCCCCGGTTAATCCCCACTCCTTTCCAAGGAAACCTACTCCAAGCCAGCCTTCCCCACCAAAACAACCAACAACCCGACAACAAGCAATGAACCTTCCGTTTTCGTTCTCCCAAATTCCGCCCTTCGCACCGACACGGGAGTACATCGTGGCCGTCCAGTTTCCTAGCCGTCAGAAGATCACATCTCCAGATCGTGGCTCCTGGCGGAACTCATGCGCACTTCCGACCCGCAGTGGTGCTGTGTGGTGCTGTGTGGTGCAAAGCCGCACCAAACCTCAACCAACCTCTGCCAGACACCGCTTCCCTTGCAGCAACCCAAACCTCATTTGTACAGTGGCTAGTCTTGTACGCGGTATGCGTGTGACGCAAAGTATGAAAAGTTGTTTTCTCACAGCGAGTAATATATACCAGATTTTTGAAGTTAACATTTCGAATCTCATGTACTACAGTTTTCTCTGGAATTTCAGTGGAAGTCGTCTGACATACTCAGTTCTGCGACAAGAAGGGGACGTGAAAGACTCCAAACCTCTCATGGCTTCTCTGACGCGACCCGGTTTCCCGTACCAGAGACATTGCGGCACGGATGTTGTGCAGGACGCGAGTGCTATGCTGACCGTCCAAAACAAGTTTCCGACTTTCTGAGCCCAGAAACGCGAGGGAAACTTTCAGAAGCCAACCCCGAAACCAGATGTCCAGTTTTACCTGCCCGACAGGAAACAGTTCGGCGGGATTTTTTCTGCGCCACGAATCGAACCGCAGGGTCGATGCGCACAATCGACTCCGTGTCGCTAGAATCTCCTCTTGCCATCTTTCGAATGTTGGATAGCACTCTGTGTCCTGCCGAGCCGACGCGAGGCATGACTGCTTTTCGAGTGCACGGCAAGAAGAGCTGAGGCCTCCAAGGTTGCTTTGCTTCCGCCAGACTGTTTTGGTGGAAGGAAATGTAGTGCAATGCCAAAACCTTTCGTAGCAGTAAGGACACCATCATACATGCCTTGACCAGCAGTCCTTTTGCTTCTCTGCATCCATTCCCGTTATGGCCCCATCCATCCATGCATGCCGCTCTCGTCAGCCTGACCACATGAATTGATGGGACAAAAACTCGTGAGTTCTTCAGCTGGAGCTGTTCTGCACAGGTCCGTTCGCACGTAGGCCTCGTGCTGCTGAAGCTGCTATTTCCCTCCGCCGCAAGGCACCCCTTTTTTCTCCAACCATTCGTCTGCTGCTCGTCCCCGCTAGGTTTACCCTCCCTGCATTCCAAATTCAGTTGTTCAAGCTTCACGAGCTATCAGTTTCACATACGCACGCATCGGCGCCTGACCAAGCGCGACTCACAGCCCACGAGGGGAAAGAGAGCAATCGTCTAGTTGCTACTGGTCCTCCTCTCTGCACCTTCCTTTCCGTCTAATCCAACGTGTGCCATGACGGGATCCAACCGTAATTAAGAAGCTCAAGTAGTCAGCTTAGCTTCGGTAGAGAAGGCGTTGAAGGATGCATGCTAGATACCGCTCCGTAACTTAGATGAAGACAGCGTAACGACAACTGAGCTCGACTTGTGCGTTCTCTGAAGGATAGAGCTATACACCAGAAGTATTACCTGCGTAATAGCAGGGATTTCTTCCTAGCATTAGCACACTCAACATACTCGTTGGTTGAAGAGCTCCCGAAGTGGGTGCGAGCGAAACCTAGAGAAGAAATAATAGGCGATGGGCTGGCTGAGTTGTTGCGGAGACGCTTCTAGCGCGGACGATCTCAACCACAGATGGCGAAAAGGGTCTTCGGAGCGGGCTGTCGCAAATCCGAAAGTCGCTCCCGACATCGTCGAAGGTGCGCTGAACACACACTACCACCAGAGTCACACGCAAGTCAGCATCCTGCCTTGAGCCGTGGTCTGGAAACCTCCACAATGGCTCAAAACTTTACACTGATGAAGGTACACTGAACTCGCACTTCCCCCACAATCTCCGGACTTCTCCTTTCGGGACTTTGACGGCTGAAAGTCGGACCTGGTCGTTGTTTGCACTCGCAGGTATGACACCCTCACCCTCTTCCCGAAAGGGAGAAAGCGAAATGTCGCACGGCGACACAACCGCTAAGGCTGACGCGTCGCTCCGCTCGGATCGAGGCGCGAACTCTCCGCAGCAGAAGCAGCACGCGCAGCAGCAGGCACACCACCAGCAGCAGCAGTCAGCAAGCAGCAGCAGCAGCAGCGGAACCCGATCAATTCAAACTTCGTCTGTTTCTCGGAGCGAGGACGGGGGAGCAGCGGTGCCGTCTGGTGGGGAGGCCGAGGTGACAGAAACTGAAGCGGAAAACGCTAACGGACAGGCTCCTGCTTCTGCGGCCGCCACTTCCGCTGATGGCGAAACGCGAAGGGCAGACGGAGAGTCGCACGCGAGCGATCCTGCGTCGCAGCCGTCGCATCCGCCGCAGGCGTCGCAGCAGGTGTCGTTCAATCCGCTAGCAGGGGTCGCTCCATCGATCGCCGCGCAGACGTTCACGTTTCGCGAGCTCGAGCGTGCGACGGGCGGGTTTTCGAAGAAGAACTTTGTAGGGGAAGGCGGCTTCGGACGCGTTTATAAGGGAAAGCTGGAGTCTACTGGCCAGGTGAGTCGTTCGCTCCTTTTGATGTGCTCTGTTGCTGCTGCTGATGCTGCTGCCGGCGCTGCTGCTGGCGCTGCTGCTGGCACTGCTGCTTGTGTTGGTGCTGCTCTTCCCTTTTGAGTATTGCTTGTGAGAAGTGTAGTTTTTTTTCCTTTTTACGATAAAACGAAGACCTAGCGAAGTTCAAAACTGTGTTGGAAATATTAGGCTGTTTTCTTACGCTGACGAACGCCGTCAATTTCTAGATGCGTCAAGTGCGTACGTTGGCGGAAAACCTTTCACCTGCCAGCAGGGAAGCCTTGTTCACCTTGATTTCGTGAAAAAATCGTCTAGCTCTGTAAGACGAGCATTTCGTGCAGATGTTACTGATATTCATGTGTGTTTTGTGGATTGCTAAAACAGTATCAGATCTCCCGGCGTTATCCCCGCTATTGTCCCTTTTTGCTCCAAACAGATTGTAGCCGTGAAGCAGCTCGACCGTAACGGAATGCAGGGCAACAGAGAGTTTCTCGTGGAGGTGCTCATGCTGTCGCTGTTACACCACCCGCATCTCGTGAACCTGATTGGTTACTGCGCCGATGGCGACCAGCGGCTATTGGTGTACGAATTCATGGCAAACGGCGCACTTGAGGACCATCTACATGGTAAGAAAAAAAATCAAAATGCTATATCTGTCCCGCATACTGCACTCCGAACTGGGTCCTTAAAGCTTTCGTTTATTTTTGATTGATTTGCTGTATGAAGTCATTTGAGTCATTGTAATAAGTTCTGCTATCTCAATACAGCACATAACGTTCGCAATGGTCGCACCCTAATCATTTGATCCCACTTGGCTTCTTCTCGCCTACACGGGTTACAGACTTGCCGGAGGGCAAAGAGCCGTTGGAATGGAACATGCGCATGCACGTGGCTGCTGGCGCCGCCAAGGGCCTCGAATATCTACACGTCAAGGCGAATCCTCCTGTTATATATCGGGATTTCAAATCATCAAATATCCTTCTCGACGAATCATGGCACCCGAAGCTCTCCGATTTCGGCCTCGCGAAACTGGGCCCGGTTGGCGACAAAACGCACGTTTCCACGCGAGTCATGGGAACGTACGGTTACTGTGCACCCGAGTACGCCATGACGGGTCAGCTTACAGTGAAGTCGGACGTGTACAGTTTCGGTGTCGTGCTTTTGGAGCTTATTACGGGTCGGCGGGCGATTGACATGAGGAGGCGACACGGCGAGCACAATCTAGTCGCATGGGTAAGCCACGTGGAAGCCAGTGGTTGGAAAGCCGAACTCAAGAGTTGTGGCTGCGGGGTGTAGGGGAGGAGTGAAAGGAGAGAGGGAGAGGGAGGGGGGGTGTGTATGGTTATCACAATCGATGTGATAAAGAGCTGAATTCTATGAAGTACTTTCCATTGCACATGCCTTTCAGAGCTATACTCATATTCCACATCCCTCCCTCTCCACCTCCCCCCCTCCCCCACCCCCTCCCCTCCCTTCCCTCTCGCTCCTCCCCTTTCCCCCCTCCCCTCCGCCTCTCCCCCACCCTCCAGGCTCGACCACTGTTCAAAGACCGGCGGAAGTTTCCAGCCATGGCGGATCCTGGCTTGAGGGGGCGCTACCCGATGCGAGGGTTGTATCAGGCGCTCGCAGTGGCGGCGATGTGCTTGCAGGAGCAGGCAGCTCAGCGACCCATGATTGGCGATGTGGTTACCGCATTGAGCTACCTCGCCAACCAGCCGTTTGACCCGGATAAGGTCACTAGGTGAGTGGGGTGCTGGTGGGTGGGGTGGGGAGTGGTGCGGGGTTGTGGGGAGTGGGCGGATGTGTTTTTAATTTTGCTATGCGTTTTGCTCTACACAGAGGCTTAGGGTCTAGGTCTATTGAGAATGGCTTTCATATTCTTTTAACGTGTTTTGCTGTACCCTTTCAAGCTTATTCCGCCTTCCCTTCTCCCCCATCGCTCCCTCCCCTGTTCCTTGAACCACAGGCCGCCACCTGGCACGCCGCAGCACAACCCAATGGACCGCCGGAGCAACTCCAGCGGAGGCGGGGGAGGGGGCGAGCGCAAGGGCTCGCGCTCCCCCGCCCCCCACCACCACGGGGGGGTGAGACGCTCCGCACTCTCCCCCATGCAATCACCTGATGTGAGGCACATGCACCACCACCACGTGAACCACCACCGGTTCTCGGAACGGGGCGAGGAGGAAGGAGGGGGAGGGTCTGTGGGTGCTGCTGCTGGGTCGGCTAGTCCAATGAGAGTGAGGGGTGGAGGGGGGTACAGAGAGGGGCCGGTGGGGTATAGGGAGAGTCCGGGGCATGGCGGGGTGGGGAGTGGAGGCAGGACGCCGAAGAACCAGAAGGGGTATGGGGAGAATTGGAGGGCGCGAGGGGAGGAGAGAGTGGGAGGAGAAGAGGGTAGATGAGGTGAAAGAGTGAGGGAGTGAGGAAGTGAAGGGAGCTAGGGCGCTTGGAAGAGCCATGAGCAATGCCTAGGGTGGGTGAGCTGGTAGTGGATTTCAGGAGGGGGGGAGGACTGGATAGAACGGAGGTGCAGGGCTCCAAGCTGGGGTGGCGAGGCGACAGTTTCTGGGCGTGATGTGTCTGCAGCATGCTCAGGGCCATCGAGCTGGCAATTCCTTGTTAGAACAGCAGCTTGCTCGTTTTCCAACTAAGAGAACTAGAGAAAGATGATGGTATAGGCTATGGGATTGGTTGTTTCTTGCACGAACAGGCCTATTGAACAGCTGATATAATGCAGTATAGGAAGCGTTCGGGATATGGTTGGGATATGCATCGCTATGGGTGCCAAGTGCAGGGTTATAGCTTCTGTTGCAAGCAGGGGTTGTTGGGTAGAAGCAGTGTGGTTTTGTGTTGTGACCCCTTCGTGCTCTTCTAAAGAGCGACAATCTAAGTTCTCTTCACTTTTTCAAAACTTCTGTCCCCATACTAGCTCCACATTATGCAGAATGTGTCTTGGCTTCACATTAGCATATCGTTTTGTCTTTCCTAAAGTGAGTAAACTTGCAGAGGAGTTGTGGACACGAATAAGCAACTTATGTTTCTCAATCTTGTCGATCTACACTCTATCCTCTGCATTAGTTGTCAACGGTTTCAGTGTACAGTTGTTGCGTTGCCAACCTTGTTCGTCCTGCCAGCCATTCCCAATGGTGGAGCAACTGGCTGGAGCAATATTTTCGCCTTGGGATGGTAGCACTGGCCTTGCGGCCATGGAGCTTGTCGTGGCCCAGCATCCAATCGACCATTATCGTTGGCGAAAATATGTACCGGGCTCAGACGAAAATATTTCCCTCCCGACGAGACAGCTCACCACGAAGCCAATGTCCTCAACGACATGGGTAACGCTTCGTGATAATCGCATAGAAGCAGGTCCTTTGTTCGTGGTACCTCAACATCCGCAACCATATCGCCATGTCGAGACTCATGACAGCCTGGCATTTTGGACTCTCTCGAAAAGGTGTCTGTTTGCGATTCACGCACCACGGTTCTATTGGATGCGTTACGTTCTGAAACGGTGAAGCATTTCAGAACGTATGAAACAGTACTAAACGGTCAGTGGAGTAACTCCCAACCCAAGTACACATGATGCCCGACCAGTGCACGCGAATTTGCCATGCACCGGATGGACACGCTGCCCCCGAACTCGAAACCCCTGCTTGCTGCACCCCATGTACAGGCACCTGGATGGCCTTCTACAGTGAACGCGGCTCGGCCTCCCCCCCACGTGCAGACCACAACAAGCAGTGCCGACCCATGTTTCCCCTTGTTTCTAGGCCAGGCGCCAACCTGACGAAACGAATGGACGAAATGAAAATGGTTCGTAATTGCATTCGCCCACCTACCCCGCCACCTAGGCAAGTTTCAAGGTGCGTGTAACAGACATCTGGCCTGGTGCACGCTGCCACGTGTAAACCTCAATTGTGGGGTACAAGGCCACTAACATCCAGGCGTTGTTCGCCTAACCCACGTCAGAGTATAACTCTGGTGGTAACCCAACCACATGTATGAAATTGTAAGCAGGGTGCATGTAACGAATCATCACAACACAATTCAACCCCCGTCACCCTGAACGGGCCCCAGAGCAGGTTATCCGCGGTCCTAAACACAAGTTATAAACTGATGAGCAAATTCACAAGAGCATCAGTATCTCCCGCCTTAGCCTCCCACAATGCCTCGCCACCATCGCCGCGAGCAGCTTCCGCTATTCATCAAGCGCGCATTATGCGCGCATCACGTCGATTATCCCCTCCTGCGCCACGTCGATCTTGCACGCTGGGTTTACGCCCAGTATGGCCTGCGACCTGACCGCTCCACGGTCGGCCGCATCCTGAAGAATGCGGGCCGCTGGGCTCTGGAGGAACCCAACGCCCCCAATCAGGTGCGGCGCCGGGGCGGCGCATGGCCTGAGCTTGAGCAGGCCATGGCTCGCTGGATCGCAAACGCGGGCCCCGCGAGCGTGCCACTCACTCTGCAGACGATACGCGACCACGTGGCGACGATGGCGCGACGCATGGGCATTCCGCCCGCGTTCCGTTGCTCCATTGGCTGGGTCCGCCGTGCGTTGAGGCGCCAAGGAGTGCGGTGCCGTGCAGCCATCGGCGAGGCGGCGAGCGCCGACATGGCGGCTGTGCGTGAGGCGCGTGAGAAAGTGCCGCAGCTTCTGACTCACCTCGGTTACCAACCGCGCGACACTTTCAACTTTGACGAGACTGCGTTGTGGCTCTCTGTGCTGCCGCGTAAGACGTACAGCAACGCGCACATTCCCGGGCGCAAGGTCTCGAAGGACCGCCTGACGGTGGCTTTTCTCGTCAACGCTGACGGGAGCCACGTCTTCCGGCCGTTGGTCATCAGCAAGGCGCGCCGTCCGCACGACTTCAGGCCGGACTACGACCCGGAAGCTCTGTGCTACTGGCGGCACAACGCGAAAGGCTGGATGACCAGCTCGGTAAGTCACAGGCGCCTGCGTTATTGCGCGCATTTACCCCCTTCCCCCCACACCCCCCCCTCACCGTCCCCGTCCACCCTCCCTCCACTCCCATCCAACAGTTGTTCACGCATTTCATATCGCAGCTCAATGCCGCGATGTATGCCGAGAGGAGGCACATCGCGGTGCTGCTCGACAATGCAAGCTCCCACATGCTGCGGGACGAGTGCGCTTGGAGCGAAATCGTCTGCGGCATGCGGACCACTTGCCTCAGCAATGTGCGCCTCGTCTTCCTGCCGCCTAACACAACCTCCTACACGCAGCCCCTCGACCAGGGCATGATCGCGACAGCGAAGGCCCGCTATCGACAGCACTGGCTGCAGGCCTTCACTGCACTGTGGAATGACGACGGCGCAACCAGTGCCGTCGCCCGCTGGCGCCCCAATCTTCGCGACGTGCTCGGTTGGCTCTCCGACGCCTGGATGAGCGTCGGAGCGCGCACCATCCAGAGGTGCTTCTGGCGCACGGGCTGCTTGCCTCTGTCGTGGTCGCTGGAACTCACGCATGTGCATGATGACGATCCCACCCCCCATGCTTACCCGGACATTGAGCTCGACGACGACATCGACAATGTCGGGGAGCTCATATGCGGGCTTGGGCTCGGCGCCGGCGCAATGACCGCCGCCGAGTACGTCGCCATCGACGAGGGCGAGCCGACGTGCGCGGAGGCGGCGGCGGGAACGTCTCCGGAAGATGCGGACGTGGGCCTGGTGGCGGAGCTATGGAGGGCGCCGACCACGATGCAGGCCGTGTATGACGACAACGACCCCATCGGCCGTGAGGCGCGGCGCACGGCACGGGCGGCCAGCGAGATGCTCATCGGCTACGCGCGCGCCGTGAACGTGACCCCGCGCGACCTGTGCCACCTGTTCGACATCCGGAATCCGGTCATCATTGAGCTCATGGAGCGTGCAAGCCCCGCGCTGGCTCTCAGCATGGCCCCGCCGCCCAGGCTTTCGACGAGCCCAACCCCGCCGGAGGAGGCCCAGCATCCGCGGGGCCGTGTGCTGCCTGGCTGGATGACCCAGCCGTCCCGCCGTCAGCAGCTTCTTGACGCCGGGGTTGGCGCCGCGATGGGCGGGTACGTGGAGGCGGCCGAGTGGATGCAGGTGTGAGCTGGAATTTCACAACACTTGATCAGGAGTCGAAGATGGGTGTCGGGGAGTTTTGTTGCAGGTGTAGTTTGATGAAATTGTGCACATAACGGGCACATTTGCAGTACAGGGGATGGTTTCTTGATGGGGGTTAATGCTGATGTGGCGGATTATGGTTGGTGCGTCATTGCCTGTCTGTTGTTTCAATCTAAGTTGAACAAAGGTTGTCATTGTTTCCAGGGTGTGTGTTGTTATCGTAAGGATTTTTGTAACACACGCTTGTGACAACTAGTGCCATCCGACACTGTTATATTAGAGACAAAATGTGTGGTTACCATATGCGCGATACATGCACGCGCAAAGCCTGACGAAACCCTCTACGAACCGACGAAATGCGGTTTTAGCTTACAGTCCCCCTTCACAAGGCAACCGGGAGGGGCTGTAACGAGCATCAGGTGTACCTCCTCCTAGTAAGCCAAAGCAAGTTCCCTCCACTTGCGAGGCCAACATTAGGCGTTCTTGGCATCGCATTGTTGTCAGGCGTAGTAGGTAGCCGACTAATTAGGTCCTGAAACTCGTCATCGTCAGGACTTTTCGTCAGGCAGGCCATTCGATGGGTGATCGCCTGCAGTACTCGTCAGCATAATTGCTAAGCTTGTGGCTGTTGGCTTCACGAGAGCAGTTCGTAGTCTTTGCGTGGTCTGAGGGCGTTCCCGGGTGTGGCTTGCATTTTTTAAATACGCTTTGACGGGATTGTGGTTGTTTCGTGCATTTCGCGTGGTTTCGTCGCGTAATACGTTCTGGCCTAAGCGTCCACTCTTATTTTGCGTCCCCCTCAGAGCTTGCAGTTTTGGTTTCGCCGTCAAGACACAGTCTCCATCTTGTTTTCTTCATCTGAGGTTATATTTATGCGACGATCTGCACCGTCAGATTGTCGATTAAGGACGGTTCAGGAGCTGTGCTTTCTCTCGCAACTCCGTAGCTGAACCGTTTGCGACGTCTCAGACCTCGAGCACCGTCATGTTGTCGATCGACGATGGTTCGGAACCTGTTTTTCCTTTTCGGCGACGCCATAGCTAAACCTAAACTTTAATTTCAACCGGACCGACTAAGAGAAACAAGTCTCATGTCTATTACAGTTTCATGGCGACCACCTCAGCGAAATGAAATGCTGCGATTGGGAGGACTGCCACGTCGGCACTGCCGTCGCCGCGCATTGCTGCTGCTCCTGCCAGCACTTCAATTTTCGTCCCGGAAAGCCTTTCGCCAAAATTTGCCGTTCTCCTTCGTCTCCTCCTCATGCTGAAAACCCTACGATGACGTCATCATCCGTGTCGTCAACCCCGAGGTCCGGCGTGTTCCATCCTCCCTTCAGCAGCCCGCAGCTCAACATTTTTTCGCGCGCTTTCAGCAGCAGCCCTGCCAGCGATATTTCGGCTCGTTATAAGCGGTCTCGGCGACGGTGGGAATCGGTGACGCATATCCTCCCGTTATCTTGCTTCCGTAACGAAGATATGACGCTGGACCATGACGAACCTCCGCAACGTATCGAAACATCCACACCAACTAGGTCCGGCACGCACGGCTGGGGAACGCCTAGGTCCGGCACGCCCAGGTCCCGTGCGTCCTGGTTCGGCACGTCTAGGTCCGGCGCGAAAGCTGATACTGTTCCGGAGCTTGTGTTAGAGGTTCGGGAACGAGCCTGTGCTTCCGAGCCTGCCCCTTCTCGCGGAGAGGGAGCGGCTGATTCCAGTTCAGCGAGTAGAGATGCGGACGAAACGGGTAACCATGTCGCAGTGTCGGGTAACCATGTCGCAGAGCCGAGTAACCATGTTAGAGAAACAGGCGAAACGATGGAAGGTTCAGGGGATTCGGAGACTAAAGGGGAAGGTCGGGTGGCGAGGGACGGGGGGACGCAGGAGAATGGGATTGCAGCGATCCGAATGCCTAGCGCGGAGCTTGAACACGCGGGGATAGGGGAGCTGCGCGCGCATGAAGGGGTGGCTGAAGAGCCAGGAGGGGACGCGGGAGCCGCGGAAACGTCACTTGCGGAAGCAGGGGATGCGGAAATGTTAAGAGCACGGGAAGCGGAAGCGCCACGCGCGGAGGCAGGGGAAGTGGAAGCACCACAAGCGGAAGCAGGGAATTCAGAGATACGAAAGGCGGAAGCAGGGGAAGCGGAAACATCACAGGCGAAAGCAGGGGGAGCGGAAACACCACAGGCGGAAGCAGGGGAAAGGGCGGGCAGCACTGGTGCTGACGTGGCTGTTCCTGGTGCTGAAACTGCTGCTGCTGTTGTGGGTGTGGCTGCTGCTTGTCCTGAAGATGCTGCTGCTGCTGAAGGTGCTGACGTGGTTAAGGCTGTGGCAACCGATGCTTGTCAAACGTCAATCACAGCAGCAGGTGTAAGTGTAGAATTCCAAGGAGGCAGTGATTTAGGTGTAGCAGTTGACGAGTCTGTAGTTGTTGACGCGGATCATACTGTAACGTGTATTCCGGATTCTGCTGTGATTGTAGGTCTAGAAGAGAGCAATTCGGTAACGGTAGGTGTAGAGGAGAGTGTAACGGTTGGAAAGAGTGATGCTGTAGATGTAGCAGCAGGCGGGGACGTGGTTACCACAGGTAACGAGCCTGTTATATTTGTTACAGGTGCGGCAGTAGGTGTAGCAACAGGAGCGGCTGTAGCAACAGAAGAGGCTGATTCTGTGGATGTAGCAGCTTCCAACCCTGCAGCCTCCAACCCTGTAGCTTCCAACCCTGCAGCCTCCAACCCTGCAGCTTCCAACCCTGCAGCTTCCGACTCTGCACCCATTATCGCTCTAGAGGATGCTGCTGGCTCCGCTGCTGCTGCTGCTGCTGCTGCGGCGTTTGCTCGTTCACCTAGGGGGGAATCTGAGCTCACCGCTTTCGGTCCTTCTCAGATGATGGCATTGTCTGAGGCCGAACCTGCGAGTCCGAACCTTACACCTAGGCTCGGGGTGCCCAGGCTCGTGCTTCCCAGGGTCGGATCTGGAGCAGGAAGGAGTGTGGCCGAGGGGCAAAGGGCGGACGAGGCGCGTTTAGCAGCAGAGGAACGGGGAGAGAGGGGAGTGAGAGAAGCAGAGAAGTTGGATGGGAGGGAGAGGAGGGAGATTGAGGGGTTGGGGGGTCTTAGTCCGAGCTCCTTCGCTTCTACCCCTGGTGTACAGTCACGCGGCGTACAGTCACATCCCACGGACTCCCCCTCTCCTCAGCCCCGTATTCCTCATTCACACACTCACCCCTCGATCCGCTCTTTTGCTCCCCCAGACTCTCCTTTTGGGGAATCCCCAACTCCGTCCTCTGAACCGCTTGTGCCGCACTCACACCCGCACCCGTCGCATCCCCCTTTCCTGCAGCCAGACTCGCCCTCCTCCCCCCAACCGCCCGTGCCACATTCGCACACTCACCCGTCGCGCGCACACCCGTCGCGCGCACACCCCGAATCCCTGCAGTCCCGATCTCACCACCCCCAATCCGTGCACTCTCAATCCCTGCAGTCCCAATCCCATCACACCCAAGCCTCTCGTTCCCAGTCGTCTCATTCACTACCAGATGCCGCTGTTCCCACCTCCTCCCCCCCTCCTGATACCGCCACTCCTAGAAGCCCCCCTTCCGTCTCCCCCGTCCCTCCAAGCCGCCACTCCACCCCTTCCTCTCGCCACCCCCGTTACAATCCCTCTCTGGACCCCGCTCCCCCGCGCCCGCACTCCCCCGTTATAGGAACGTTCTCCTGGGGCGCGACTTATAGCGGGTTTCGCCCCCCAATTGCGCCCTCTAGGTCCGCGCGCACCCCCCCGTCCGCGCTGGGGGGGGGAGATGCGGGGAGAGGAGGAGAGGGGGGAAGAGGCGAGGGTAGAAGGTCAGGTTCTAAGGGAGCGGTTAGTCTGAGCGATAGGATCAGGGGGAAGAAAGAAGCAAGAAGAGGGGGAGGAGCAGGAGATAGGGACCCGGCAGGTGAAGGGGATGAGGAAATTGAAGGGGAAACCCGCGCACAAGCCCCGTATTTATCAATTCCCGGGGAGGATGGCGAGGAGGGGAATCCACCCTGGAAATCAGGCGCGGCCGAACCTGAGCTCACGCCCCGGTCCAACTCCCTCCCAAACGCCTGCTCCCCGTTCTCCCTGCTCCTCCCTTCGGATATCAACAGCCCGAAATGGGCCGGCAGAGGAACCGGCAGCGGCAGAGGGCTGGGGAGTGGGTTAGGAGGAGTTGGGAGCGGTAGCAGCAGGCAGAGCTGCCAAAGCCAGTCTAGATACAGCCGGGGGCAGGGGCAAGCTCAGGGGGACGAACTTCTTGGGGTTGGGGATAGCCCGGCCTGCTACAGCCCGGGCGGCAGCACCCGCCGCCCTGCTACAGCCGGGCCGCTGGGGGAAGCAGCAGAGTCTGCTACAGCCGGGGGGTCTGTAGCAGGGACGCCTGTGGCGGGTACCCCCACTGCCCGCACGCCCACGTTTGGGAGGAGGCTGAGGAGGCAGAGGGGGCCGTCTTTTGGCGGGTCTTCAGAGCTGCTGGGGCTTATGGGGAAAGGGGCGATCAAGGGGCTTGCTGCGGGTTTGAAGAGTGTGCAGAGGTGGAGAGAAGGGGGGAGTGGAACGGGGAGTGATGTGGAGTGGGAGGGGGAGGGGGGGTGGGGTGGGGAGGGTTTTGATTCGCCGAGAACGGGGGAGAGTGGAAAAGGGGGAGGGGGGGAGGGAGGAGAGGCGGGGACTGGTGGTGCTGCGGGTGCTCTTGCTGCTGGCGGTAGCGGGAGCAGCAGGTCAGGTAGGAGGTCCCTTCTGTCGAGCTTTCTATCAGACTCATCAGACAAAGACAAGGACAGGGAGAGGCCTGGGTCCGCGTCTAAGAGGAGTCGTCTCCGAAGCAGCAGCTTCGGCTCGTTACCCTCCCCCGGGGGTGCTGGTGCGGGCGCAGGCTCGGGTGGTGGTTCGGGTGCAGGTGGCGGTGCTTCGGGTGGTGGTGCTGCCGGTGGTGGTGTGAGCAGAAGCAGCTTTGGTTCTAGTTCCAACGGGGAGGAGGACGGGGAGGATTCAGAAGACTTGGTACAGGAGGGAAAGCTATGGGAGCAGCTAGAGGAGAAATACCAGGAGCCTCTCTCTGCTGAAGCTGCTGCCGCTGCCGCTGCAGCAGCCGCCGCTTCTGCTGCCTCTCCTGGCGCTGCTGCTGGTGGTTTCGGTGGTGCTACCCCTAATGCACCGTCCCCAAGTGGCGCCTCCCCCTCTCTCGCCATGGCTCTCACCCGAAGCATGTCTCTGTCCCGCAATAAAGCCCTTTCCAGAGGTATGTCTATGGTTGCCAGTCGTAGCAGCAGCAGGGAGGCGGCGGATGAAGGGGAGACGGGTAGCGGCAGTGGGGGGAGAGACGGCGAAGGGGAGAAGCTGGGGGGGAGAGGTAGGCAGGGGCGGGCGGCTGGGCGGGCGGCTTTGCCTAGGCCGAAAAAGAAAAGGTGGATGAGGAGGGATGTGATAAAGGAGGAGACGAAGGAGGAGATTGAGGAGGAGAGGGAGGAGACGGAGGAGAAGCAGCAGGGTGGGTTTGTGGAGGCAGGAGAGGGGCAGGGGGCGGAAAAGGAGGGTGTACAGGTAGGGAGCGGGGATGCTGAGGAGGAGAGGAGGAATGAGGAGGTGAGGAGGATTCTGCGTAGCTTGGCAGGTGGGGAGGGAGGAGGAGCAGAAGGAGGAGGGGGAGGAGGAGTGGGAGGGGGAGGAGGGGAGGAAGAGGAGGAGAAACGGCCTTCTCTAGCTGTGATGTTTCAGCGGTCTATAAGCCTGAGGCTTGCACCTGGGGAGAGGCTAGGAGGGGGAGGGGGAGGGGGAGGAGGAGTAGGAGGAGGTGGAGGGAGACGGGATGGTGGCGGGGAGAAGTTAGGGGTTATGGATGCTTTTAGAAGGCAGGTCACGCTGAGAAGCAGGCCTGAACGGGTTGAGGAAGAGGAAGCCGGTGGAGAGCGGTTGGGAGGGATGGAGCTGAGAAAGCAGGTGACGTGGAGAGGGGACGGGAGGAGAGGCGAGGGGAGGAAGGGAGTGTTAGGGTTCAGGAGTCTTGCTGCTGCGGTTGCGGCTCTGGTGGGGGTGGGAGGGCGTGAGGTGAAACACGGGAGTGGGGAGGGACAGGGGGAGGAGGGTAAGGGGAGTGGGGAGGGTAGGGCCGGGGAGGGTCAGGGAGAGGAGAGTGAGGGTGAGGAGGGGCGGAAGGATGGGGAGGAGAGTAGTGATGATGGGGAGAGGGAGACAGTGGGGGAGGAGGAAGGAAAGGAAGGGGAGAGAGGGGAGGAAGTGAAGGGGGAAGGGGTCAAGGAGGATGTAAATGAGGAAGGTAAGATGGACGAGGGTGCTGGTGCTGGTGCTGCTGGTGCTGGTGCTGGTGGGGTGGGGGATTTGGGAGGAGGAGAAAGAAAGTCAGAAGTTTTAATTGAAGTGACGCGAGAGGGGGCAGCAAGGCAGGAACTTACTCCCACTCTCACTCCCTCACTCACTCCCACAATCACTCCCTCACTCACTCCCACACTCACTCCCACACTCACTCCAACACGCACCCCCAGCAGTAGTGCCAGGTTGACTGGCGTTGACTCAGCCACACTTGCCCATGAATCCGGTGTTGAGTCAGCTCAGGCGTTGACTGGCGTTGACTTGGCCACACTTGCCCATGAGTCTGGTATTGAGTCAACTAAGGCGTTGACTGGCGTTGACTCGGCTACTCTTGACCATGGTTCTGATGGTTCCCCTCTAGGGCCATCCAGAAGGGGAAGTTTCCACCAGCTTTCTCCAAAAGAAGGCTCACCATTGGTGGATAGTCAGGAAACGAGCTTTCAGCCAGAAGAGCAGCGGCAGGAGAAGCAACAGCAGCAGCAGCAGCAGCAGCAGCAGCAGCAGCAGCAGCAGCAGCAGCAGCAGCAGCAGCAGCAGCAGCAGCAGCAGCAGCAGCAGCAGCAGCAGCAGCAGCAGCAGCAGCAGCAGCAGCAGCAGCAGCAGCAGCAGCAGCAGCAGCAGCAGCAGCAGCAGCAGCAGCAGCAGCAGCAGCAGCAGCAGCAGCAGCAGCAGCAGCAGCAGCAGCAGCAGCAGCAGCAGCAGCAGCAGCAGCAGCAGCAGCAGCAGCAGCAGCAGCAGCAGCAGCAGCAGCAGCAGCAGCAGCAGCAGCAGCAGCAGCAGCAGCAGCAGCAGCAGCAGCAGCAGCAGCAGCAGCAGCAGCAGCAGCAGCAGCAGCAGCAGCAGCAGCAGCAGCAGCAGCAGCAGGAGCAGGGCAGGGGCAGGGGCAGGAACAGCAGCAGCAGGAGAAGCAGGAAGAGGGAAAATCGGAGAATCAGCCCCAAACGGAGGAGAATCAACAGCAGCAGCGGGGTGGCGGGGAGGGATCGGAGGGGAAGCAGCAGGCTTCAGGGAGGGCACAGAGGCTGCTGGTAAGGCACCAATCTCTAAGCAACAAGGCACTAGACGCTGCGAATCAGAGTATGGGTGTGGATTTGGGTTTGACAGGGCGTGATGATGCTGCTGCTGCCACCAGCAGCAGCAGCAATACCCCTGCGAACAACAGTGGCAACGGTGCTGGTGGGTTTGGTGGCAACCTGCCTTTGCTACGGACGAGTACAGAGAGAATCGTTCGGTCGACCCGCAGTTTGGCTGTTAAGAAGTATTTATCCCCATCTTCCTCGCTGGTTCGACGGGCAGGAGCAGCAGGGGGGGCAGAGGGAGCAGCAGAGAGAGCAGGGGCGGGAGCGGGGGGAGGGGAGGGATCGGGAGGAGAGGTGGGTGGGACGGGAGAGGAGGGTGAGTGTGAGGGTGGTGTGGCGGGGGTGGTTAGGGCGCGGCCTGGGGGGGGCGCGGCAGGAGTGTCGTTTTACTCGTTTGACCGGCATCGAATGGGGTTGGCGGCGATGGAAGCGAAGAAGAGGGGGTGGAGAGGGGCGGAGAGGATTGGGGCGGATAGATTAAGGGTGGTTGGAGGGGGGGGGGCTGAGGT